CCACCTCTGCTGTAGCAATCTGCACATAGCCCAGATGGGCTCAGACAGCTCGGTGCTGGACTTACTTCAGTAAAACCCCATCCAAGCCAGCATTTGGGCAGCCTGGTTCTAAAGCAAGCCTAAACTGCTGAGGAAGGACGAGCCTCCATTTGGAGCACAGGCCTGGGATTTAGCAAACATTTGTTCAACTCCTGACTTGCCTTGTTTGAGCTTCCGCAAGCCAGGAAACTACAGCCATACGCTGCTGGAGTTCAGGAAGCTGGAGAGCACGCGGAATAGGAGAGGTGGATTCAATGAAGCAGCACAGCTCCTGTGCACACAGGCGACTCAGCCAAGGGCTGGAACAGCTGTGTTTTAACCCATGCCACTGAGCTATTTGGGATCTGTCTCAGATTGCTCCAGCACTCATTCACGTGTCTTCCTGACAGAAGACCAACAATAACAATTAGTATCATATAAGGAGCAGTGGGCTGTTGCCAGCATTAGCACACTCTCGCGCACCAAGGGTTTCCATTCCACTTTTCATCCCAGCTATGCACATGGCAGAGGTCAGTCAACATTAATCAGCCTTGTTCTGGGCCAGCTCCTTCAGCACATTCAGCTCGCTGAACTGCAATCGCTGTCCCTCCGTGCTGTGATGAGTTACCCCTACTCAATGCGTTTGCCTCTTTCCTTAAGCTCCCCAAAATAAAGTCTGTTCACTGTTAGCCAGCATATGATGAGAGAGGCTAAGCCTGGCCATGCTGGCGATGGCCTCCAGACCCTACAGGGGATGACACTGGCTGGTCTTGGCTTGGTGGGTCTTGGCAGGAGCCTTGTCTTGTCATTCGGAGGTCTAACTGAATCCCCTTCTATCTGACAGCAGTGCCCCATCTTCATCCCCTAGGAAGGGGTTTCCACCTTTCCAACACTCCTGAAACATGCTCCCTCAGAGCTTTGGGCTGGTTCAGGATCACCCTGGGGAATCCCTGCCTGAGCCAGCAAAGGGAATGTGCATCTGAGGCTCCTTCTCAGCACATGAAACATGCTCCAAGGAAAGGCTCTGGAAGGGATCCTGATGACTTCCATATTATTTCCAGTAAATTTTGAGCTGATTCTTGGCACAAACAGCGGAAATGAATAGGCTAGGTCAGGAATGTAAATAAAGCGAAACACTGGGATTTAATCTAATCTATAATTATAGTATCTGTGGTGCAGGGAAGAAGTTGGTGTGATTGCACTGCAGCTCCATGGAGGAGCTGGAAGGTGTTTTCATTTCCTTTTCCAAAATTTCCCTTTTTTGGCTGAGGGATAGTTGGTGTCTCCCCAAGTATCTGCAATGAACGCGCTGGGCTGGCAAAGCTGCTTTCCGGCAGCCGATCAGGTACGGCTCAGCAAAGAGGCATCCCCAGGCACTCAGGGAATGACGGAGTGAGAAGCTGAGATGGATGAGCTGGCGAGGTGATGAGCTGGGCTGAAGGCTCCGAAAGGCTGCGGGATGCACAGGGGAAGCTCCTGTCTCTGCAGCAAAGAGATCGGTTGGGTTTGTAGGGTGCTGAGCTATGTAAGGCCCAGGAGCAATGTAAACTCAGTCCTCCAGGCTGAGCTTGACCTCTGAGACAAGCCAGAGCTCTTTCTCTTGACCTGTGTTTGGTGCCTGGTGCATCACCGGTTGCCTGTCACAGGGTGGTGCTCCCAGGCTCCCAAACCATCAGTCTGATTGGCACTAACTGGTGTCTGGACTGGCTGGTCCGTGCAAGACGAGCACTTAACAGACACATAGACATCTCTCCCTCTGCCTTCCTCACCCCATCCTCCTCCAGATCCACCCAGAGGAAGCTTGACAGACTGCGCTGGTCTAGCTGAGCTCAGGGGAGAACAATCCCCTCTCCTGTGATGCATTTTGCAAGAATTACAAGACTCTGTTTTTTAAGATCTTAAACCAAACTTGACAGTCATCAAGGACCATTCTCAGTGTCCCTGTGTGTGTGCACACCAGCATGTTCACACGACAGCAGCATGGAGCCCCACCACGGGCACCCGTATCTGACACACCAGCAGGAACGTCCACGCATGTACATGAGCCTATGGAGCACATGCATCTTTGTTGACATGAACTGCTTTCCCTCTGAAAACCCTCTCTCCTGGGACTAACATCTCAACCAACGTACTACAGACAGGGCAAAGAAAAGGGCTGACAGGCAAGAAACTTGCATCAGCCTGAAATTGCAAAGGACAAAGAAATTAGTTCTCCTTTTGTTAGTTTATGTTTGGAAATTACAGAAGTCTCAAAAGCAGCGGAATCAACCAGACTTTGCTTGTTTATTTGCTTGTAGAGCATTTTTTGGTTTTGTTTTTCATACTGAAGTCCAGCTTTGATCTCAGGCTGGTAAGACTCCAAAGGAATGGTCAACAGCAGGGTGTGATTGCCGTAGGTACCAGAGGAGAAAAGGGACAGAATGTTCGACACATTTATAGAGCAGATGAGACTTCCATGATCTCACAGTCCCCTCTCTCGGTTTACATGATACCTTCAGACTACTGAACAAGTAAAAGCATCTGCCTTTGAAGAGCTCTGATGCTGCAGACTCTGTGCTCACCTAACAGCCTAGAGAGAGGCGCAGCTCCCTGCCAAGCTGCTAGAACCAGGATTATACCCAGGCCAGAGCCTTCCAAGATAGCTATTTTTCCACCGAAACAAATGAAATGAGTAGAAGAAATTCAACTTCAGAAATGACCCTGTGCCCCCGTTTCTGTTGTCGTTACGCCTGTGTGGGCTTAGAACAGAGTGTTAGCCTCACATTTCCTTGTTCTGGCTTTCTTCAGGCTGTGTTGCAACTGGATGGATATCTGAACAAAGGGATATTTAATCTGTATGCTTATGTATCTGAGAATGCACAGATGCCAAGTAAATATGTGCTGGTTAGGTCCCAGGTTGGAGTAAATTGTGTGTGTGTGTGCTGGATATGTATGCACCCACGGCAGAGCATGCAAACACGCTGAGGTGTATTGGTCCACGCCGGTGTGCCGGGGCGTGCAGCAGCAGATGCTGGGGAGGGTGTGCTGTATGTGTGCATGCACATTTTCTGGATGCCCAGGAGTGTGCGTCCACGCCCCACAGGTGCCAACACAAATCTGTGTCCATATATGTGCATTTAATCGCCCACAGCCCTGGGAACGGCGTGCCAAGCCCTGCTGAGCATTAGCTATGGGATGGAGCCAACACTGTGTATCACCCCAGGGCCTGTCCCTGCAGAAGGATGAGGTCCAAAGCTCCTCAATGCCAGGGGACTGATGCCCGATGGCTGTCTGCAGCCATGGTTCCCCACAAAACCTCCTGTCCCTCACCCCAGGCTGCCGACGGGGAGCAGGAGCTGACTGCAGCCATCCCCAGGACACGGGACATCACCAACCTCTGCTCACCCCCTCCGAGGCCATGTGCCTCACAACCATGAAGCAGAAGCCTGGCTTTGACCAAAGGGATGACACAACCCTGGACAAAGCCTCTTGCCTCCCACCCAAGGCTCTCCCAGCCCTTTGCAGACATTGGGAATGAAATCACAGAGCCCTAAAGCGACGGGTGAGTGCAATTATCCCTGCCCAGCAGATGGGGAGGATGATTTGGCAGCCTAGGCTGCCCAAGAACCAGACCTTCTGCCTCCCAGCTCCATGCATTCACCTCGGCAGCAGCCTCCCCATCAAACCCAGTGGCTGTTCCCTCCCCCAGCGCCCCCGGCAGCCGTAAGCCCAACGGCTGGGAGCTCACAACTGGCCAATTTTATGGGCAGCACATTATTAGCAAGCTCTGCGGTTGCTCCAGCCTCCCCCTGGCACCTTTTCAGAGCAGCTCTGTTCCCAGAGATATTCATAATTATATTTATGCATTACATGTATTTAACAGGAAAACATTTCCAATTATTAAATGGCAAGAGGTATCGCTTGGAGCCCACTCCTGGACACAGCCCTGCTCAAGAGATGTGTAATAGAGGCTTCTCCTTCTTCGGAGGCTGTCAACAAACTGAACTGGGGAGTGGTGGAGGGGAAGGCAAAGGGAAAGTATTAATCAAGATCTTTAAAAGTCCTCGCTGACAGACCATTTGCCAGCTCTCGCTTTAAATGCTTTTGTGGTCCCATAAAAAGTTTCATTACTCACTACAAAATGTGTTTTAATTATTACAGTCGCTCTGACATTAAGCCCTGAGTGTTTCTCTCTTGCTTACTGTCTCTCTTCTGTCTCCTTGCCCTCTTTCTCTCTTTTTTTTTTTTTTTTTTTTTTTCTTTCTTCTCTTCTCTCTTACTCTCCTGACTCCTGATATTCACTCAAGAGAGAGGATGTCCTGGCTAATGAGCCAGGTTGACATGCCCAGACCCTCTCCAAAAGATATTGAAAGAGAAGTTAATACACAGAACCTGAAATTATCCCTTTGCTTTGGACACTAATTACTCCACAGGATTCAAAAAGAAAACTCAACCCCATGTGCTCAAAGCATATCTCAGAAGAGTCAAATAAGTGAACAAGAACACCAGCACAGGCGTGGGCAGGATCCCTGCAGAAGTGACCGGGTGGTGGGCAGATAGATTTGGTGTCTCTAACCTGGTTTATGTGTCCTACTAACACACACAGCAACTTACATAAACCACACCTATCTCACTTTTGACATCTGGCTATTTGGGTCCACCAGGCATTTGGCAACTTGCTTCAGTCTGACTACATTAGCTCAGTTCATCCAGGAGAGACAACCCTGTCCCACCAGGCGTGGACCTGGAGGACCAGCACGCTGCAAATGCGAGTTATCCCAGTGGAGCCTCCCATGGACTCCCAGTGCCTCCAGTGCCGTACTGGCAGACTCTGGTTTTCCATTCCCCTAGCAGAGCCTAACACCCAAAGCAACAGAAAGAGTCTCATCATTTGTCCAGTCTCTGGCATAACATGGTGCCAACCAAAAGAGTTAATAACAATTAAATCACATCATTGGCGATCCCCCTTTGCCCCCAGCAGCTCCCCACACTCCTCTCCTTACTTGTACAGACCATCTGGTTCCAGGCACTTGAAAATGACTGAATAGAGGCTGGTTTCAGGGACATCGCCGTGGCTCCTACCAGCTGCCACACAGGATGTTGCAAGGCCAGAAAGCAAATCATCCGCAAAGCTCAAGGATTCTCCTAGAGAGCAAAGAGATGAGCAAGACCGAAACATCAATATAGGTGCAAAATTATTGCTGACCGTTTAAAAAAAACACGATAGGAACACCTCTACACTGGACAAGCAATCAACAAACTCCAGCTGGCTGTGGCTGGTAGGAATGGCCCCAAGTCTATATGGAGAACATCACCTATGGACAAAGTGAGTAGAAAACACACCTGGGCCACCGGCTGCAATAGGGAGCGGCTGCAGAAAGCAGGGCCAGTGCTAAGCCACCACTTGGGCAGTGGAAGGGTGAACTCACAGAGCAACAGGCAACGTATGGGCTCACTGCAAACACCCCATGTGGGACCACCATCCCAGGACGGGGTCCAGGTCCCCAGAAGAACTGGAAGCCTGGCTAGAGAGGGCTCTCCTCCCCTACTGCAAATCCAGCTCCTGAAGGGGACATGGCTTTTTTCAAAAAATCACCTGCCCCCGTGAAATATGTTCGTGCTATGGCAGATCATCAGGAAAGGAGACACTTTAAGAGCTTGGATGGAATTGCTTGTAATGTGCTGGGGTGGGGTTTTTGTGGTTTTTTTTTCTTATTATTTATTCAATGAAAATAGGTAGCTTTGCATTCCCTTTCATGTGCATTCCCTCTACTGGGCTCCTGGAGCTCTGACTGGAGCTCCTTCAGCTGTGCTGAAGAACACTTATCGCTTTACAAGCATTCTAAGAAAGAAAAAACTAATTAAAAATGCTGAAAAACTTTTTTTTTTTGGTCTTCTGGTTTATAAAGCTTATTAAACACTTAGCTCATGACCCAGCTGAAACTGCAAATGCTCCATTTATTAAGCTTTTTGGGCACGATTATCCACTGCTGTGCAACCTGTCTCCTTGCAGTGGGCAGGCTGTCTATCAGCTAGACCTCATTGCGTTCAATTTCCATTTTGTATCAGTGTAACTCAAAGCCCAAGGTACGAAGCAATAAAAAAAAGCCAGAGCAGCTGCCCTGGTTGTGCCCCTCACTGCCAGTGATGGGAACCGGAGAAGGGGCTGCTGCAGCTGATCGATTTGGGCTGGTATAAGTAAACCCAGGCCCAAATTGCTGTGCCAGGCACCTTGTGCATGTGTAAATGTCAAGATACCACAGCAGAGGGAGGAGAATTCCCTTCTCAGCACTTTTCTTTCTTTATTTTTCTAAAAGGAAAAGTGACTAAGGACTACTGAACTGAAGCACAACTCTGGGTTCTTGGTATAGACTGTAGGGAATAACCCCGTGGTATCACCAGCCCAGAACACCTCTCTGTGTGGCTGAATTACCCAGGTAAAAGAAAAAATCCCCACCTCCCCAGCCCCCCAAACCGCATTTGCATCTTGTCTCAAAATACACAACTCAGTAACAAATGTCCCCCTTGGCTAGAGAAAAGAGCAGCAATAAATTCTTTCCTCCCTAAAGGAATCCAAGCCTTAATTATTCATTTTAATGCTCCCAGCACGATTTATTCCTTCCAAACGTTTTTCAGGCAGCTCTGACACAGGTCTCTGCAGCTTAACCCAGTCTCCAGCCCCGGGTCCGTACCAAACCCCACATCAACTCAACGCCCAGGTTGGGTTGGCGGCGGTAAAATCACTGCTTGGAAGTCACTGAGCACTGAACGGCCTTGAGCAAGCTCCTTAGCTCTGGGTTTACGGTTTAAACACACAAACCAACCTTTATTGCTCATTTCCAGCTTTAATTTCTGACCCTTTTCATACAATATTGGGCTGGGTTGGGGAACTCCCTGTCACCAGAAGTCACTGAGAACAGACACTGCCATGCCTTACAAACCAGATGAATCACAAACACGTAATGAAAGAGGAGGACCAGACAACAGCAAGAGATTTTAAGCCTCTTCAGAACTCAAACAACCAACTTGTGCCCAGGAAGAAACTTCCCAGATGGGATAGATCATCCCATGGGTGCCTACTGTGGGACTTCACACCTTCCTCCAGGGCACTCAGGGTTGAGAGGCAGCTGATGAGGAGTAGGAAAAATAGCTGGGCAGAGAGACTGGGATGAGCAACTGGGCAAGACCAAGGGGAGCTTTGGACTGGGAGTGCATGGGCACAGGGAGCATCAGTCACAACATCTGTGCCAGGGAGATGGGAGAGAAAAACACGGGTGGGGCAGGGAGTGAAGAGGGTGCAACCAGACTTGCAAGAGATTGGAAATAGGATGGAAACATCAGGTACAACCGCTGAATTAAAGCATGTATTAAAATTACACAGATATGTCTCCTTAAAGCATCTGCTAGCTTCTGAATGCTCATCTTTCATGGTCTTCCTGGGTAGCTCTGAAGGGAGAGGAGCAGGCTGGCAGTGAGCAGTGCCCCAAAACACAGCGACAGCTGCAGCACACGATGCTCTGGTTTGCTACGAAATCCGATCAGACCTGCCTAGGTTCAGAGTGCACTGCTGTCCCCCTGCACGGGAGGTAATGAAGCTCTCGGGGTATGCCAATGTGGTGTCACCTTGGGTTAAGCCCAAACCCTCGCAATAAAATCCCTACAGCAAGAGGCTGCTTTGTGTTCAATCCTGAGCCTCTGGGGAACTTTCCCCTCCTGTTGGCCCTGCTACAATCAAACAAAAGCAAAGAGGTTGTTAGGAAAAGAGCAAAAAGGATGCTATCAAAGGTGCTGAAAACTTTGCCCCAAGGCTGGGGGTCTTTCTACACCTGTATAAGCAGCAGTGAGATTGGTGATGGTACCAGGCTTTACGGAGCACAAACATGGTCGGGTAAGGGATACTCCGGGGATGAATCAACTGCCCAGAGCTGTCAATCTTTTTCATACTCTCCCCTGGGTGAAGCAAAGCCCATGGCAACTTTGTTCGTCTCACACAAGAGAAGTCTCTCTTTGTTCAGTCTGTGGTGCTCTGAGAGCAGCTGAAACGAAATTCCCTAAGCCTCCCCCAGGACTAGAAAACAAGTTATTCCTCAGATTTAAACTGGGACCTTGTCAGGGAAATGCAACGAAGGAAACAGGTGCATTTGCCAGATTTAGACTGGGACCTTGTCAATGAAATGCAACGAAGGAAACAGGTGCATTTGCTGGCATTGCAAGAGGATGATGGACCACTAAAGTTGTCCTACAAAGTAAAAGTGGTCTTGGGATGCTGCAGCAATGGAGAAATACTGACCTCAGTGCACAAGGTAATGGTGAGAGCTCAGTGCGTTGTACTGTTCATCCGTGCTTGTGAACAAGGCATGGGGAAAGCAGGTGAGAAGGCTTCACAGAGAAATAACAAAAAGGACAAGTTTACTATACGAGCAGAGACATAAAAAGGCCAAGCAGAACTACATGACACTCTGAATACATCAACAGGGCAGGCACTCAAATGGAAAATAAATATTTAGGCTAATGGGCAGTAATGGCAAGAGAAAGTAAATTGGATATGAATAATCGGTCTGCTCCTGAGAAGGGCAAATAACCTAACTATCTTTTAAGAAGCAGTTTGATCACTTTATAAAAGGGATTACATGGATAAGTAGCTTGTGATGGAAAGCAAAGGGGCTTCTCCTTCCTGTCTGGACCTGTGTTCTCGCACACCCCGCCAGCAAATATAAAGAAGGATTTCAGCCTCCCAAAGCAGCCCTGAAGCACAAACCTTCTACACTGCTGTAGTATCTTTGCTCATGTTATTAAATTTCAGAAAGAATCCAAAGGTTCTCTGCAGAGTAAATGATAGCTAAGTAGATCATCTCTGTGGAGTAGGAGGCATTTTATTGACCAGACAGCCATCTGTGTCCTTCATTAATAGTAATAAATAATTGATGTCACACTAAATAAAGCAATAAGCTGTTACAGATATCAAGGACAAATGACCAGCTCCTGTGAGGATGCCTCACCTGTGTTCACTTCTCGGTAGTAAAAAATCCAGACCAGAGCTTGACATCACTAAGTGCTGTGCACAGAGCAAAGGTGGCACCCGCTGCACACCGAGTACAGGTAACAGAGCGACTGTGCTCAGCAAAGGGATACTCCCAACTACAAGGCTCTCTTCCCCCTCATTTCCCTGCCACTGCCTTCCCAGGACTGGTCTGCTCCAAACCATCCAAATCCCCAGGCAGCTTTTGAAAATCAATCTCTGCTCTACTAATGACTGCCGGGAAGATGCGGCTCCCTCCAGGTGGCATCTTCCTTCTCTCTCCAGTGCAACCCCTCGCTACTGCCTCGTCCTCTTCCATAGACACATCTGTGGAGTTTGGCAAACCTCCTCCTTTTGGTTTTGCAAACATGTACGTTATACTCGTTCTGGTGGTGCGGTGAGTCAGAGCTCCCCCAAAAAACAGAGGAAAATAACAGCACACTTGGAATTTGCAGAGGGGTTAGCCCCATATTGTGAAGCTTTGCAAACCTCTCCTGGCCACACCAGGTCTGGCCACACAAGCCAACCCTCTGGTGATGGTCTGGGATCGCCACCTGGGAACACAACGATGTCTGGGCTGGAGGAGGACACTCCCAACCCAGCTGCCTGTCTGCAAGGCTGAGCTGGCAATCTGCTCCCCAGCGAGCACATTTCTAGGGGCAGGAGGCTCAGATGGGCAGGAATGGGGGCTGAGGAACAAAAATGGATGGGAGCAGGTTCAGACTGCTTGCTCGCAGCATCCAACAGCCTTCGCCTGCCTCAGTCCTTCCACTGCGACCCGTGCCAGTGCCCAGCAGTCGCAGACTGCAGGCAGGATGAATCAGATATCAACCATCCCGCCGAAGACAATAGGAGTTACGGCGTTGAGTTCAACCAGGATGAACAAGAGAGCGAGGCCAGGAGCCCCCGGGAGGTCAGAGGACCCAGAGGAAGCTCTGGGACCCTCACAGGTGTTCCCACACGTTCAGCCCCTGTCCCCGTGCCCAGAGCAGCACAGACCAAACCCAGGTGGTGCAAACCAAAGTGGAAATGAAGACAAGAGAAGACCCCTGCTGCGATTCACCTTTGAGATTCCTAGAAAGAGCACAAAGGGGCAAGTAGGAAGGCACCAACGCCTCTGTCTTGA